ATGTTTTATCATTCGAGTAAATTTAAAACAAAATATTCTAGTACATACAAATATTTTTTGCCTTTTTTTTGTTATATTTTGAAGATATATTAAAGAAATACATCAACATTTGTAAATTACAAAAACAACACATCGAATCTTAGTTTATTTGCTTGAATAAAAAGAAAGAAAACAATATTTAATTATATATTTATGGTTTATTATTTTTAATATCATCTTCATTTATTGCTTCTTGTTTATTTGATTCATTTGCTGCATGTTGACCATCAGATTTTTGTGTTGTTTGCTTCAAAGGATCTCCACTACCACCTGATGGCGATGGTGCAAGTGAATTGTCAGCATTTTGACCTGCATGATGTATTGTTATACCGAAACCACTTGACTTAGTATTAGTAGATGAAGAAGACATTTAATATACGAAAAAAAAATAAGAATAAATGATTTACGTAAAGAAATGTGTTATGATACGAGCACGTTTTATATAGCACGTTTAAATATATCTTTCTTTTCTTTCTGTTCTTATCGTAATCTGCCTTGTATTTACTAGAAACTTTTTTTTTTCAATCATGAAAAATAAATGCGCAATATAAAATGGTATATTTATTTCTTGAATAAGTATAAAATAAATATGAATGATAATATTTTTGTTAATGAAAGATGAGAGCGATATCTGTGATAGAAAAATTTCATTGTTGCGTATTATTTGACAAATAAAATTATAAGAGTTTTCTTTTTATTTTACATTGAAGACATATATTGTTTTATAATATTTACTACTGAAAAAATGGCTTTTGATCCAACTGATATGCAAGATTGGATTCGTTCTGATCAATATCACAATCGTTTTCTTATTCCTCATGACGATGCTCTTAGTTCTGCATTAAATTTAAGTGAACAAAATAAACTTCCCGCTTATGCGGTAAGTGAAGCACAAGGTAAATTTTTGAATCTGTTAGTCAAAAGTATTCAAGCTCGACGCATACTGGAAATTGGAACACTTGGAGGGTATTATGTTCGGAATATCTATTTATTAACTCTCATATATTCTATCATATAGATATTCGACAATCTGGTTGGCTAAAGCACTTCCTGTAGATGGTGAAATTCTCACATGTGAGATTTCTGATGAATTTGCCAAGGTAGAAATATTACTGATTAATTAAATCGAGTGTATAAAAAGTCAAATTATCTGTAGATTGCACAAAAAAATATTGATAATGCTGGTCTAACAAATAAAGTAAAGATACTGGTCGGTCCTGCAATTACATTGCTTCCTAATATTCATCCAGATGCTAGTTTTGATTTAGCCTTTATCGATGCTGACAAGCAATCGAATGTTGAATATTTTATTCAAGCGAAACGATTAGTAAGGAATGGAGGTATCATTATTGTTGATAATGTCGTACGTAATGGACGAGTAGCCGATCCAGAACAAAGTGATGCAAGTATTGAAGGTGTTCGTAGACTGTTAGAATATATTCAAAATGATTCAACAGTTGAAGCAACTACATTAGCAACTGTTGGAGAAAAAGGTTATGATGGATTTTTGTATGCTATAAACAAGCCTTCTAATAATTAATATTTTTAATATTATACATAAATATAATTTGAAAACGATATATTTTATAATAAGCAAATATTTGTTTAGATGAAGGCAATCGAAAAGAATGTATTTTCCTATGAATAATCGAGTTAAGATTCAATGTTAAAATGCACTGTTATCTATCGAAAGTCTAACCACTGATATGAAAGCTTGCAAATAGTATACTTTTGTCAGTTGTATAACATTGATGGTATAAGTAGTTCATGAATACTGCAAAGATGTCTTTATAAAAAAAACTCAAAACTCTTTATTACAATAAAAAGTAATAGTTTGTTTTTTTAATAAATGAAGTATTGTTAACATTTGAAGTCTTCAACATTGATTTTGCCAGCTTGTGATGCTTGAGCCATCCAATTTTCAAGAGCTCCTTTCATAGCTCCATCTCGGCTTAATGCACTAGATTCACCTGTAATTCCTTGTCCTTTATTTGTACAATGAAACTTAGCATCCCAATTTCATTGAAATTTTGAAATTCGTCCCTTCAAATTTCCTATACATGGATTACCACAGATAGTCATTGGTGTGTCTTCACCCCATTGATGAACTTTATAGATGGACTGAGCCATTGCAACCATACATCCCGTATAAATAGAGGTCGCAATACTCGTAGCACATTCTTTAACAGGAAACTCAAATTTGGTTTCGCTTACAACACCACTAATAAGAATACAACCAAGAAAAGCAAGAAGAAGTGATAATTTGTTCATTTTTAATAATTCCTTAAAAGATATCAAGCATATCAATAAAACAGACAAAAATTACAAGAATACCTACTGAATATTCTGATGTTTTTTTCACGATGAAAAGAAAACTAATAAAATATGCTGGATCTTCGATATATTTATATATTTATAAACGTATTGATGAATTCATTAGTTGGATGTTTTTTTAATATTCTTTTATTACAAATTTAATTTATTCATTTTTCCATCATACTTAACGAGTAATCATGCATATATACATATGAATTGACGTACATATTTTAAGCATAGTTCCTTTTTAGCATTATATTACTTGCATTGGTTATATTATTAATATGCAAATAATTATTAATAATTGAATTTCATATTAGTATAGGTAAATAAAGAATCACTTCGACTAAATTTCACTTCCTAGAATGTATAGAAGAGATCAATATGATAATCACTAAAATATATTAACAAACTTCTTTGCTTCAGTTAAGTACTCGCTGACGTATAATACATCAGTATTAGAATTTTATATAATGATTAAAAACTGATGAAGTTAGTATGTGTATGTTTTCCTTCGAATAAATTCGGTATTGTTATCTATCAGATTAAGTTTTATTATTTCGAATATAATATGTATGTCAAAGTGCATAAATATGTTGAATACATTGATTTAGAAAGACGAATGATGAATCGAAACGTTTTCTTTTTCGTTGTGTTATTTTATATTATACTTATCAGTTATTGTTTGTTGTTTCGTTCTTATCAAAAATTTCACTAACCAGCTTCACACATATGGCATCTTCTACGATTCAACAAATTCTTACAATTCGAGATGAATCTATTCCTAAGAATAGTTTACTTGGAGATTTAACTCCTGATTCATCAATTCTTGATGTAAGTGAAATTCCATGTCAATGCGGTCTTTTATCAAAGGAAGAAATTAATATCACCGAAAATTATACATCTTGTCAACTTGTTACTTTATTGGCTAATGGACAATTGACAGCTGAACAAGTAATTAAAGCTTATCTTAAACGTGCTGGTATTGCTCATCAATTAACTAATTGTGCAACAGAATTTCTTGGTGATGAAGCTATTAATCGAGCTAAATATTTAGATGAAGAATTTAAAAAACGTGGGCAACCAATAGGGGCACTTCACGGTTTACCGATCTCTGTTAAAGATTATATACCAATGCGTGGACGACGAACTAGTGCAGGTTATATGACATGGATGAACAGAATTGCTGAAGATGATGCTCTTGTTTTAAAGATTCTTTATGAAGCTGGTGCAATATTTTATGTTCGTACTGCTCAACCACAAAGTCTTATGCATTTAGAATGTGATAATCCTATTTATGGAAAAACTGTCAATCCATTTAATCGAAATTTAACTTGTGGTGGAAGTAGTGGTGGTGAAGGTCCGTTAATTAGTTTGAAAGGTAGTCCTATGGGTGTTGGAACTGATATTGGTGGCAGTGTGCGATCCCCAGCTGCCAATAATGGAATATATGGTTTAAGGCCGACTACTTTTCGAATACCAAAACAAGGTATAATGGGAATACAATCAGGAAGAGAAAGTATTCTTGGTGTAGTTGGTCCACTTGCACGAGGAAGAGAAGATATTAATCTATTTATGAAAACAATACTCGATGCTGAACCATGGCTGAAAGAACCATCGCTTGTTCCTATTCCTTGGCGATTAATTTCATTAAATTCAATTAATTTAACAGTTGCAGTCATGTGGGATGATAATGTTGTACATCCACATCCACCTATAATTCGAGCTCTTCGTGAAACAATTGAACATTTAAAAAAAGCTGGAATTCGAGTAATTGATTGGGAACCAATTGATCATCAAAAAGGATGGGATTTAATAAGTGCACTCTTCTATTGTAATGGTGCCGAAGAAGAACGAAATCTAATAGCAGAGACAAATGAGCAATTATTACCTTTAACAGAATGGATTTTTAATCAACCAAATGTAAAGAAAAGAAATTGGACAGAAATGAATGGATTAATTTCAGAAAGAGAAACCTATCGTACTCAATATGCAAAAATATGGAATGAACGAGAAAAATCTTTGAATTGTTCAATCGATTGTCTTCTTACACCGGTCGGTCCATCTGCAGCTCCTCAACATGGTACAGCAAAATGGTGGGGTTATACTTCTATATGGAATCTTCTTGATTATCCAGCTGCTGTTTTTCCTGTTACAACTGTTGATCTTGTTAGAGATCAAATAGAAGTTGATTATAAACCTAGAAACTCATTAGATAAGGAAAATTATGAATTATATACATCACCACAAGCTTATGCTAATGCACCAATTGGATTACAAGTGATCTGTCGACGATATAATGATGAAAAAGTAATGAAATGTGTTGAAATAATTGAACAAGCAATGGGTAGAGAATAATAAACAAATAAATAAATCTGAACGTCTTTTTGATTATTATTTCTGTAGAATAAATTTTGATTATTTGAATAATAAAAAAATGAAATTTTTTCTTAAGATGTCAAAAATAAATACATAATCAATTACGCATTTGTTAAATATTTTGAAATTTGATCTTATAAAATCATATTACCGATTATTCATTCACATCGTTTTTATGTACACACAGCTATTTTGTGTTTTTTTTCTTTCAAAATTAGTCATCATAAGTTTATACAAGAATTGATGTTATCTTTCTGTTTTTCTTCGTCGTCTTATGCTTATACTCAATATCATGTTATCTTAAGAACAAAATATTTTTTTTATTCTACTTCTCATTCAAGTAAGTATGATAAATAACATGAAAACCAGGATAGTTTATTAACGTGATAAATACGATATACTTTAACTGTAAGTAAAACCTTGCTCGAGAAAATTATATCAAGTAAATATATATTATTAGTTTGATCGTACATTTTTCTATAGATTAAAAATAATTGAGCAATATGTCTGCTTGCTTCCCGATTATCTTTTGTTTCTTATCATTTATATCTCTCTTTTATCCTACAATGGAGTTCTCCAACAATCTTTTCGCTGGTGATTTTCGTGCACCACAACCACCAAATTCTATTCTTGCTGAATATCAAGCTGCATACGTACAACATAAATGGGATGGAACTGGTATTTCACACGTTGCAAGTGGAATGATTTATGCAGGTTTGTCAGAGGGACACCTTCGCATGGATGTTACCTATGATGGTATTGTTGCGAGTTCGCTTTTCGATTATACAAAGGCCAATAGTGATGGTACAGTTCCAAATTATGTGTAAGTTATATTTTTTTATACTACATAAGAATCATATTTAAAAATATGAAATACAATTTTTAGATACACATTATCACCATCAACAGCTTCAACAGGATCCTGTGCGCTTTATAATGTAACACCCGCTTATCCTCTCTTTCCACCAACTATTCTAGCTGATTATCATGCTACATTTGCTGGTCTTGTTAATGATAATCTTTTCTATGCTAATCGAGAACCATTACAAACATGGGATATTTTATTTGGTGGAATGATAAGTGTTAGATTTTTCCTTGATAATAATAATACATTAGTAAGGTAAAAATGTTCATACAATATTAGATAGAGCAACAATCTAAGGAATTCTTAAAATTTATAGAATGGATTTTTCATCACCAGAACGTAGTACATTTACAACAACGCGTCTCTTCAATATTGTACGTGGTAAACCAGCTTCAAATCTATTTGCTAATCCATGTCCAACAGGTTCACCAACTCCAACAACATCAGGTGGAAGTCGAAGTATATAACGATAAAAAAAAAGAAGTATAATGAATTTTTCAATGAACATTTAAGACATACATTGTGATTTTTATAAATATCGAAAAACAAGGCAAAGTTTTTTATACTAATATTTACTTTATATTATCACAGGATTTCTGAATATTATACATTAAAAACAATGATAAAGGAATATATACATATTAATCCTGTTTAAAATTTGTATTAGGATTATCTGATTTATTAAAAAGATGGAACAGTTACAGGATCAAGTTATTTTTATAAATAGATGGTCTTTTTCTTTACTCGAAAAATATTTACTATCAACAGCTTAAAAAACGCGAATATAAAAAGTGGGACAAAAAAAACGATATGAGATTAAATATTTAGTAATGCATATCAGTCAATATTGAGATTCTGTAAATTTGAATTATTTTATGAGGTGATAATATAAGTATAAAACTTAATGGAATATTTTGTTTTGTATTGCAAAAAAAAGAGTAATAAAATATAACTACGTCCATTTTTTAAAATCCAATATAATAATTAAGTTGTATGTTTTATTCTATCATATTGATGTCTTTCATTGAAATATATGACATTGAATTTTCATCAGTATTTATGATAGAAACCGTAAATGAATATTTATTTTTTTTATATAATAATCAGGACAATAATAATATTTTATAGACGCACATGTCCATAGAGAAAAAGAAGAGAATAGATATGATTGTAAAGAATAATCCTTGTAACAAATGCATCTCTCCTTGAGAATGCAACACAGTCAAGCATACACATAAGAAATTTCTTTTTCAATCAGTTAAATACAAACTGATATCATATAACAAAGAAACATCAATTTTTGTACGTTAAATATTGAACAATCTTATATAAAAAAAATTTATTCTTATTTACATTTTCAAAGAAGAAATCTGTTTATTTTTCCTAAATTTTTCTTCAATGAAATTGTATAAATTCATTTCTAAGAATAAAATCTTTTTATTGCTACATCAAAAATAATATCATTGAAGCAATATTTGATCCAAATCGCGGTAATTGATCGCTGAAATTTGATTGATAAAATTCTTGTCGAAAACCAGCTCTTTCATACATTCCAATAGCTTTTTTATTCGTATATTCCGTATGTAAATAAATAAATTTATATCCATGTTTACGAGACCATCGAATAATATCTTCTAATAAACGTTTACCAATACCACGACCTTGTGCTGATTTTTTTACACCAAATAATATAACATAAAGTCCACCATACGATCCAATATCCGTTATTAAAGCACATCCAATACATTTTCCATTTTCATATGCACACCAAATGTGATTAGCACTTTGTATTGTTTCACGTAAACTATCATATGTATAATCTTTTTCAAATAATGGTAAAAGTACATCTTGTAAATGCCATAATGGATAATTAAGATTACGAGAAATTTGAGTTGATTCAAGATTATATTGAATATGTTGATTTGTATAAAAATACTTCATTACTAACGATTTATTATATAAATAGACAAAATAACATGTTTTTTTTTGCTTCGTAATCCTCCTTATATTTGTTTACATCATATTTTATGTAGGTAAATGACACCATACATGTGATCACGGGGGATTCAGTATTTCGTACAAGAAAAATCGACTAAACCAGTTGTTTTTATCATTTATTATTTACGATAATAAACGTTACAAAAAAAAAATTTTTATTTTTAAATTTAAGAAAAATGAATTAAATCAATTTCTTTTTGATCAATCATTTGTAAATAGATAATAGGAGTATTATTCATTCCATCGAATTCTTCAATAGATTGAATACGAAATAAACTACCCATAGAAAATAATATTTCGTCTTCATCTTGATATATTGAAAATTTTGAAATATTTGCATAAGGTCGTTTATGTTGAATATATGGATTTGTTTCAATACAGAATACAATTGGAATGAAATCATTATCATTGACCGAACTATTTGCAAATGTAAGAGCTATTTGTAACGATGTAGTCGTGGAGAAAAATGTTTTTATTGATATAATATGACCTTGTATTTGTTTTAAATATTCTAATTCAATTTTTGATATTAATTGACCACGATAAAGTTTCTCTATAGTTGATGTATTATATATTTGTGTTTGTTTATAAACATTATCAAGTTGTTCATATAAATCTGTTAGAAAGTATCGTAATTTAAACATCATTTCAGCATCACTTGATCGAAGTATTTTATTAATTAAACGAAATAAAAATGAATCTCGAGTATACCATTGAATTGCATTATTAGAATTATACGTCAATGCGAACTTGTTTACCTGTTCAAGAATTGTTTCATTATCATTGAATATACGACATAATTCTGTTATCATTATAACTCGTGCTCCGGTTGTATGTGGTAAACAAAGAAGTGTATCTATTGTACGTTGATGAGCCATAAATGTATGAGCGTGTTCTTGATTATAAACAATTATTGGTGCAGAAATTAACGTTTCATTATCAGTTGTTGATGTGATGTAAGACTAAAATTTAATATGAAATGACAAGTAACGCTCGTCTAAGGACTCGCTTAGCTCTTTCTCGTAGAAATGGTGTTCTACAATGCTACGGAACCTTTTACTTATATAACTTGCACACACTAACATCAGATTCGAAGTCCCTTCATCGAAATACCTCTAGAAATGTCTTTTCTGGAAAATTAATCTTCGATGTTTTTTTGACCCTGTGGACATACAAGCAAGCAATCAGACAATATATGTTTACTGGACTCTTCATATACCTACTTCTATTGTTGTATTCATGAACAGGCTTGATTGATATATATGTTGAAAGTCTTGTTTTATTTTCTCTTCTAACATCGATGGATCATTAAAAACTCCTCGTATTTGAGAACGATAATTTGTCCATTTTTCTTGTAAACTAACTTGAGAACAATAAATATAAACGAATCGAATAGCTGTTAATAATACATAAGCTGTACTAAATAATTCGCAACCTAATGTGCCTGATGTAACAAGAAATATTTCATTTTGTTGTCGTAATTGATTTTCAATATGTGATATACATTTAAATATATTATCAAAGAAACACCATTGGAATGGTTCAATTATTTTATCAAGAATATTATTAGATGATTTTACAATTTCATCTAACCAAATAAATGATATTCCTTTAGATTCTGTCTTTTGACGATAATTAAAACCTGATGGTCTTTTAACGATATATTGGGATAAATCTGATGTTGTTGAATTTTTATATTCATTACTTTTCTCTTGTTGTTGCCGAGACAGTTGAGGCTATTTAAAGAGAATAAAAAATAATAATTTAATATGAAGCACATTGACGTTTACCTGTACATGAAGAACACCTTCGTGTATACATTTATCATACCATTCAAATATTTTTGCTGTTATTTCAGATTGACGATAAGTAAAAGTTTTAAAAGCTCGACGAAGAGCAGATTGAAAACGAAGATTTTTTTGCAATTCAGTTAAATTAATTGGAGATAATCGTTTAATTTGCCATTTTCCTCCAAATAAAAAACCAAAATTCCATTTTATTCCATCATCAATCTGTTCATTTTCAATAAAAGCACACCAACTATCTTCATCTTCCATAACATGTGTTTCACAACTTATCATTAAATCACTCCATTGACTTGAAATAGATTCATTATTACCATACAAATATAATCGTAATGGTGAAAGTTTTCTAATTAATTCACCGATATATTTTGGATCTTCATTATTCAATAGAATTTGACTATATGGAAGAAGACATGGTTTTTCTTCGTCAGTTGCAGAAATATAATCATCAAGTGTTCGAATAATCACAGAAGTATAACCTAGATTCTTACCTAAAAATAAAATTATATCGAATATAGTAATGACTTTGTGCTTTACATTTATAATCCTATAGAGGTACGCAAAAAAATTGCTCACATCATTCTGTTACGATACTTACAGATGTTTTGTAATTCTTCTTGAGCACTATTTAAATTTTCTTGATTACAATTCAATGGAATAAGTAAAATATGGCATGGTTCAGCCTATAGAAAAGCACAATATTAAAATAAGAGTATGGTTATTAAATATTAGTATACTTTAATAAATGACATAGCCCATTCTTTTAATAATCGTGCTTGACGATAATAGATTTTAACTAAATCTAATCGCTCTAATTTTGCTTGTTTTTCGCCTTCACTCGTAAGAAAATGTACGATATCTGCTGTTAAATCAAGTGTAAATTGTTGCATTTGTTTATTGATAATCCGATGTAGTTTTGAACGATCTGATGTACAGGTCAATATCTCTCGACTATAGATTACTTGAACACGATGATTAGTTTGTAAATGTTCAAGAACATTATCGTTGATTGATTCCAGAAGAATTATAAAATAACGCTGTAGACATGTATCGGATGATTGAGCGTCAGAATTAATAAGATCTTCAAGTATTATTTCATCTGTTGCTAGTACGAAGGAAACTGGAAGTCGTAGATTAATTGTTGAAATACTTTTACTTTGTCCATAAAGTACAACAATAGGTTCACAATAGGCCATAAAATATTTTTTATTCAACTGTCAAAAAATCGACTGTCTATATTATATGCTTTCAATGTAATTGAAGAAAAAGAAAAAACCAACACACATTTTATATAAAGAGAATCTGAGTAAAAGAAAAGAAAAAAATAAAGGAAAAGGGGGAAAAAACCCCAAATTATTTTATTTATCATTTGTTGACTATTTCAAGCGTATTGCTTGGTAAAAACCAAGAATATATCTATCTTGTGTCAATGTAGGTATAAGATTCATCAATTAATTATAATTAATAGTATTTTGTTAAGAGTTATTTTATTTATATATCAATACAACAAATAATAAACATTTAGATAACAAAAAAAAAGAAGATTGATGTCAGTTATAATAAAACATATAGTTACTGTTGTCTTTCAGCTATACTAAATTCTCTTACTTCAGGAATTGTATAAAGACGTCCAGCTGTTATTGAACTCATTAAAAAACTAAATATCGTAATTAAATGTGCTGTCTGATATAAATTAGCTGCATAATCATTATAATAAAGTACATATGCACCTTCAGCCATACCAGCAAGCATAAAAAGGCAAGCAAGGAAAAAACATATAGGTCCAATTAAATAAATCCATACAGCCCAAGTTCCAGGAAGCATAACTAATGTTGTTACTGTTCCTAAGAAAATAAAAATAATTCCAACGATAGAAAGACCAGCTGCACTATCTAAATGTTGATTCCATTCAGTTTGATTTCCTCGAGCATCAATTGGATAATATTGATTAATATTACGATTAGAACTACGTTGTATACAATTTGTTGTTGAATCATTTAGATAGAATTGACATGCATAAAAAAAATTTGCCGTACGAACAGTATATGTCTGTTCATTGACTGTTACTTTTGTACTTTGCCAATTAGGTGTACCAATACCAACACAAGCTAATACTAAAGCAATTCCACCAAAAATAACAGAAATAGAAATAAATGTTATATTAAGAGCATTCATATTTTTCAATAATTATTATTCCTTTAAAAATACAAATAAATATTGATTAGAAAATAAATTTTTATATTTTACTTGTATATTATTTCGATGATAAAAATTGGTTGCTAGTATTCATGACATTTTCTTTTCAATGTTATTCTTCAAATGTCTTCCTTCACAACAGTGAAAAAAAAGTTTTAACAGTCAATTTGTATTTAAAATTTTCACCGATCATCAAACGAATACTATTCGTTCTTGTGTACATATAAAGCAATATGTAAAAGAACACATGGAATTTTTTTTTGTCAATCCTCGTAAGTTGTGAATTGAATTTTGAATTGAGAGAAAAGAAGAAAAAAAAGGTGATCGATGAAAGAATCTTTTTACAATTGTTTATTATTACGTCGACTGGGAGATGACTTTCGAACCTTTGTCAATTTATTTAATGAAATTTACGAAAAAATTATTTGAGAAAAAATATGATCATGTATTTACTGTCTATGTTCTAACTCTTATTTGAACAGATCGATAAATTTATACAATTTCGATGTAATTTTGTCATATCGAATCATTGTTTTTCTTTTTCGATATTATTACTTTAAGTTAAAATAGAGAATATTGTATTAATAATGCTTCATTCAGTTATATTTTCTTAATTATTAAACTTCACATCATTATTCTTTATAATCATGCAATGCAAGATAAAATTTAATCTTACATTGTATCAGATACATTCTCTTAACCACGATTTATTTAAATGAGAAATATAATCAGTAAGAATTCCTTCAGAATAAATATGACGTAATATCTGAAATTGTTTTTAAATATAATAGTATATGGTTAAAGCTAATTCTTTTGTTTTCATCTGAAAGCTCAAAATGATAAACTGATTATGCAATGATATTTTTTGTATGTCTAATTATGTCTTATGCCAATAAGATTATTTATATGAACCGTTACAAACATCAAAAGCGACAAGGAAAGCATGAAGCAATAACAAATATTAAATTACGATACTTATAAGCTATATAATTATTAATTTCATATCCTAAAGAGAAAAATTCAAAATGGTTTAATAATATTTAACAGAACTTAGGGTGTGTGTGTGTGAGAAAAACAAGAGATGAGCCCACACCCTTGATTTTATTCCAGTTTAAAATGATAACAATCGAAAAGTAAAAAAATACAAATGATTATAAAATAAACGAAAATTTGATACATTAATCTATTTATTGTGTCGTACTCAATGTTCTATATATTTCTATAGCCTTCTTTACGAGTTGTTCACCTGGTATAATACTTTCTATTGTAATTCTCTTCAAATTCGGACAAACATCTAACAAAGTCTTCCATTGATTATAATCTGACACTTCATCAAGATTATGTTTATTAGTAATAAGACGAACGTATCGAACATTGGTCATACTTTTAATAAAATCAATTATTCCCAATAAAAAACATGACTTATTTTGCTCCGTACATTGAGCCGTTGAAAGTAAAGAATAGTGTCCAAAATAAAAAAGAAAATATCTAACGTTAAGATTTTTCACATATGGTGGACATTGAAAATGAGAACATGATGTTGCTGCACAATGAATTTCGAATCGTCTAATTTGTTGACAGAAAGATTGTTGTAAAATATCACTTAACGTATTAAAATTAACTTCATCATCATACCAAAGCGAAAGACAATTTAATTTCGGAAAAAGTATTGTGTATGTCTTTATTTGATCGATATTCCATGGATTGAGAAGAGTAAGTGAGATGACATTTGTGAAAACAGACAAATAAGATATTTCAAAATCAGGCCATATTGGAACTGACTTAACACGTAAAGAAACGATTTGTTGAAGATTTATTTTTTGACGAATTAGATCAATAAATTCTTTTGAAGGTTCACAAATTTGAAGTTTTGTGTTATAATTTTTAAATGAAATAAGGATACTGTCCGAAAATGCATTAATGGCGTCATTTAATGAAAGATATTTAACTATTTCAAGCATTAACTCCCCAGGAAGGCCAGTCTTACCAACGAAATCAAATGACTAAAACATAATTAGTGCATAAGATATATTAGTTTTAATGAAAAACTTACACGATTTTGTTCATTCCTATCACATTCTTCTTTAAAAATAGCCATTTCATTTAAGACTCTCTCACGATTCGATTTCTGTTGAATACACATTAAAGTATCACCTTTCAATAATACTTTAAACTGATATTCAGATTTTAATGCCCAATATTTATCTTTTGCGGATCGTCGCATTATACCAATCAACATTGGACATTGTTCTGTATCATGAATATTTAACAATTGATCAGAGAATATTTCTTTCCACACTTGTATTAATCTATTTTACAAAATAATTATATTCTTAAAATGAATTCATCTATTGATATCATTATTTACTTGTTTTTGTTCGATATGAATGTAATATCCCATGGCCACACAATATAGTTTTCAAGTAAATAATCAATTATAATCTCCGTACAAAAGATTGTTTGACAAAATATGTTATTCAACATGCTCTTATCATCATGGATATAGACAAGAACTGGACGACGCTGAAATTAAATCAATTTATGTATATGAATATGAGAAGATATTTCAACGAACTTCTTCAACCACTTTAGAATTGAAAGCTGACTCACAAGCGGATGAAAGAGAACCAGGATAAAATGCCGGACAACTATTGTAACGTTCGTCAAAACAGGCAGAAAAGGATTCAATACCTTTTGCTTCGTCGTCACATTCATCTGGAACTTGAAATAAAATAATAAAAAATAAATCTTTCTTTTTATTAGAACAAATAAAATATTACTTACAAGGAGCACGATTGGTGAACTTATTGTCATTCTCGCAAAACTCATCATCACTAATTTCCGGTTCACTATCCTATAATACTTTCATTTAGAATAAATTTAATAAAAGCAAAATCTTAATGTTTACCGTCATTATTTCTTCTTCGTCGGTCGTCATTAATGGAATTCGTCAGTACGATTTGAAATGACTGTTTAACATATAACCACATCGAGTGAAACTATTTTCATTTTCCCAACTTTCTTACAGATGAGTCATATTTTTGCATGCAAATATTCTTCTGCGTAATAGAAGCAAAGAACGGCATAAAAACTGATAAAACATGTTTTTTTTCCTTCTTTCCAACATAGAGTCATGACTAGCAAGAGTAAATACACTTTCGCCTTTCATACACGTGTGCAGAAACAAAAAAAATCAAACGAAAATGATGAAAAAGAACATCAAGTAATACGGTTGCACTTCCGAATAATGTAACGATTAAGATCAACAGAATTTCTCAAACAACGCTCATAATTGACAATCGTTGAATATGTTCTGTATTTGTATAATACAAAGAGCAAGCAAACATGAAAAATCTTAATAACACAAATGTCTATTGCAAAGCGAAAGAAGGAGAGAAGCTAGAAAAAAACCGAATTTCAGAACATTGAGAAATATTATCTTTATTGTTGATTGGCTGATTCGCTTTCATATAGCTCTTATTTTATTTTGCTACATAAAAAACTGGTCAATACTTGAATTAATAATAAAATGTGAATATAAAGATTTTAATCTTGACAAATATGTTCTATAATTGTTCATATAACTTTATCAAACATCTTTTCAAAATGACAATAACAATGTGTACATAAGACAGTTACACTATATCATGTCGTATAAAAAAAAAGAATTTATATATCGCTTTTCTGCTTTGCCATCTCGATCTCTATTTCAGGTCATTAGCACTTGAAGAGAAATCGATACTAAATAACCAAATTAAATCATCATAAATAAAAATTTTCAATTTATCAAAACTCTGGCCAGTCTTTATTCAATTTCAATATATATATAGATATATATAGATATTTCGTAAATCTGACAAAAAAAATGATAAATTCAATAAATAATTGAAGCCGTAAGTATCGAATAAATATCAAACCAATGATTAATTTTATATTTCACATCCATTTAATCGCTCAAATATACAATATTGCAATAGTTTAAGTATATTATTCCAAGACCTTCTGTGCTAAAGTGTGCAGAAAATCTCAACAAAAAAGTCAATAGAACCATTAAACTATTTTTTTATTTAAAAGTGATATTTCAATTTGAATAAAAAAAAAGTATTATTATACATCTACAGGTACAACATATTATAACATTCAATGAAAAATTATAGGATATACCGCCAAGCAGCATGCTTATCACCTAAATCTCGAATGTCTTCTTCTGACATATGTTCATAACCCCATTTTCGCCGATCTTCTTCGCTTCCATATCCATAAATATCAACAACTTCTTTATTCGACTCTTTTGTTACAACACTTGTCCTCATATTACTATTAGACACAACACCATATAATCGATCCCGACGATGATTTTCAAATCGAAGACTAGTAAATAATATAATAACATTAATTAATCCTAATACGCAGAATCCAAGATTAATTCCATGACCAAGAATAAAACGAGGTCCATCTTGAGATCGATAGATTTGACCACTAATTATTCCACCACAATTACCCACAGATATCATAAATGCTAATGCAGTTGCTCGTTTTGTATGTGGACTAATATTGCACGAGATAAAAGTTATACACGTAGCTACACACGGTGATATACTACCTATTGCTAAGAACATAGCAAAATATTTAACACTTAGATTCTGTGCAAAAATCAAAATAATAAAACCAATAATAGCAATCATTAACCAAAACATGATGAAAATAGCACGTCTTGTATATCGATCAGAAAAATAAGCTGTTGTCATTGTGTTTATGAATGCAAGTACATACGGAGGTGTTGTCATAAGTTGTGCACGATAACTTCGAAAACCAAGACCTTGAACTATCGTAGGCGAAACAAGTGCAAGAGAATTCGATGGCACAAGGATACCAATATAACACAAACAGAAGATATAGATTTTCCAGTCGAGAAATGCTGCTCGAACTTGTTTCCAACTAAAATGTTCACCAGCACCAGGTCCAGCATCATTTTGTAAACGAGTAATTGTTCGATCACATTCTTCTTCAGTTAAGAATTTAGGTCGATCAGATGGAAAATCATTGATTAAAAAAAAAAGCTGCTGCAGCAACAATAACAGTCATCAGTCCTTCAATATAAAAAATCCATCGCCAACCTTCTTGTCCACCGATGCCTCTCATCTGACTGATGCCAAAAGCAAGTACACCACCAAATGCACCAGCTAATGTAGTTGCAGAATATAGTATACTTATTCGCCACGATAACTCACGTCTTTTGTACCAACTGGATAGATAAAAAACAGCACCTAAACACAAATGTCATCGAGTAATACACATCAATCTATTTAGAATGAAAACAAATATAATATATGTATACTCACCTGGAAAAAGACCAGATTCAGCAGCACCTAACGCAAGTCGGCAAGCAAGAAGATCACCATAAGAATGTACAAGACCCATCAGAGTCATTACAATACCCCATGCGATCATAATCATTGGTATCCATCGACTTGGTCTTAGTTTTTTCAGAACTAGGTTTGATGGAATCTCAAAAACAATATAAGTGATAAAAAAAACACTGAGACATGTATTATATTGAGTACTTGTCAATTTTAATGATTCCATAAGACCATCAATTTTTGCTTGTCCAATATTAACTCGATCAAGATAACTTAGGATATAAAGCAAAGTCATTGTTGGAATAAGATGAAGATCAAGTTTACGAAGAAGTTTTTTATCATTTGGATCATCAGATATTTTATATTGATTAGTTTTAATAATATCATTTTCTTGAACGTTTGTTGTTTGTATTGTATGAAGTTCAACACTATTGTGGTTATCATCCACAGCAGTCATAGCAGTATCAATGAATGATTAATATTTACTCTATAAAATTAATTATATGACTACCAGTATATATAGATGAAGGACAAATGAAGTAGATATATCGTAAGATAAAGAACGAATAGTATCATACGTCTGAATACATAATGTACGATATTAATCGATATTTTTCGTTTCTTCTCTTATATCAGTTAAAAATGTACGATTATTTTGAATCGACTCCATGCGGCGTAGACATTTTATAATGTTGTGATTATTCGAGGTCATTTGCCACGCTAGAGAGCTCCTATTTCACTTATATTTTAATATGATAATCGTATTTTTTTGTTTTGATCTCATATTCAAACAATGCTAGTATAGTTGATTGAACAGTCATTGCAATATTTATAAACGTCTCTTGTCTACCAGGTGATATTATAAAAGCAGATCTTCCAGCAACAGTTATTTAACAAGTAAAATCAATTAATAGATATTTAAGGCTAAAAATCTATTTATATGCTTTTTAAAAAATAATTCAATATGTATAACATTATTTACGTACATTAACAATAAAAACTATCTTTTAAGCTGTAGAAACTTAAGCAAAATATGATAAATATTTTCAAGAAAAAATATGATCTTAAGAATAATTCTGTGGATCAATACGATTAAATAGATTCGACATAGCTGCACGTTGCTCCACTTCATTTCTGTTTTGTACTACTGATGTAGCTGACAATGAAAATGGTACTAGACAATAGTTTTTAAACAATTTTATCAAATCAAAGCGTTTAATAAGATAATTGACATTATCAGCAGTAATTTTTCTTCGATCAAATAATGCTTCCCATATATCAGTCATTGATGTTGAATCATCTTTAGCTACAGTATCGAGAAGTCGACGTGAAGCATCTTCACAACTAATAAAAAAAGAAAGTTTTTTAAGTTGATCATTCGTTAATTGCTGATCAATATCAAGTCGAAGTGAACGTAATCTAAAATTATTTTGTTTCCATCTTAAAAAAAGAGAACAACAATGAAAAAAAAACATAATCGAGAACGTAAATATGATCAAGAAGAAAATAAATAGAATGGAAAATACCAAATTAATCATTGAATATTAACAATATCTGATTCTTGATTATGAAAATGTAAATAAAATAATGTTTTAAACATTTCAAGTTCATCTTTTTTGCTTCATAGAAAACATAAAACTGTTGGACATGACATTTGTATATTTCTTAATATGTTCAAAATGAATGCAGTGTAAATTCAAGACTAAGATTATAATCTATATACTTTGCTTTTATGCCTATAAGAAGTCGATACTGAAATGACATGATAAATGACTCTTTCATATAAATGCTTCTCTAAAACAAATCTCCTATCATCGATCATTTATATGTTGTTTTATCAGAAAGAGAGTGTACATTAGCTATAATGCATGTTCATTATTACATGATAAATAATATTTTCTTTTTTATTGCATCTAAAAACTTATTTTCATATATTGTATATAATATTCAAATTTGCCTTGCCTGTTTTTCTGTAACTATGAATAAAAATCGAGATAATCACATGAAAACTATAACTGATTAATCCCTACAAATTAATATAAATAGTAAAATATTCTCTTTGATTTTCTATTTAATAAAATAGATTTTCTTCCCAGCATATATAAATTATTTATAGAATAACTAAGATGTTGATATACAGTAATAGTAATTTGAAAAAAATAACTGCACTGCTCTCTTTTCAGGAAATATTATTGAAGAATATTTGTATATATTGAAAAAAATATCCCTGACTTACACAAAAGAAAAATGATCGATTCTTTTTTCAAATGTTTTTTAACTTTGTTCTAAACAACAATATTTTTGGCACGTAATTTTGAAGTTAAATAATGTAAAGTCTAGACTCTCCTTTTTATTAAAATAAATTTATATTAGATGGGAGAGCCCATATGCATATATTTCTCAGCTCTATTATTTATTTCATCTAGTTAATATTAAAAACAGAGATGAATAATATGCTCTCAAATATCAGCTAAATTCTCTTACAAAGATTCATAGTATATAAGTAAGTATATTCTTAAAAAAAGAAAGAAAACGTCTGCAATAATTTTATTGATTAATGAATAGTTGGTATCTACTCAATAGTAAGAAAATACATTACTAATTTTTAAAAGAATACATCTTTTATTTTAGATTAGTAAAAATATTTGAATTAAAAATATTTTTTCATATATATCTTTTTTGTTCTTGTAGTTGATCGATTGTAAAATAATAAAGTTAAACAAAGCATCATCTATGCATCATAACAATGAAGGTTTTCTTGATGTAACTATTAAAGAAATAATATGAACTTATTTTTATTTTATTTTTATTATTTTAGCATGAATCACTTACGATCAATGTAGATCAAACATTTAGGACTCGATTCCAAACTTTGTATGTATACTTTGAATTTTAAGGGCAGCAAGATTGAATAGTTCGATCTCAGTCTAGTTGGACGTTGATCTACCTTAATTTCTTTAGTTGTCAATTTTCCAAATATTGTTTTCTCATCAGTATGCTATCATTTCCACTATTATACACTGCTAATACTGTCTTTTTCAATTCAAATTTGTTCTCAAAAACGTATATATGTATTCCGAAAATATAAGTACATAACTGTTCTTAGTTTTTGAGAACGAATTCAGAGTATAATACATATCATATTTATATATAATGAGAAAATGCTTATAAAAATACAATATATAAAATATTGACATCGAGATCAAATATGAATTGGATGGAATAGAAGCCTGACCGAACTGCTCTGTTTAACATTGATCGGAATTAAACACCTGATTATCATCACTGAGTTGCATGATTCAGAGTATTTTTAATTTTCTTTAGATGGAAACAAATTCGAGCAAAAAAGCGGATATGGATTACGTTGTCTATTTTGGTTATTATTTTGATCATACTGATTATTAGTATTCCCACAATTATCAGCACAAAGAGAACTGAAAATAAAGTAAAAACATTATCAACATCAACAACAACGATAATGACAACAACAGAAACAACAACAACAGCAGCAGCAACAACAACAACAAAAATAATAACTACAACAAGACCAGTAACTACAACAACAAGACCAATAGTCACAACAACAAGACCAATAGCCACAACAACAAGACCAATAGCCACAGCAACCACAACAACAACAAAAATAACAACCACAACAATGACAACAAGAGCAACAGCAACAGTAACAGTAACAGTAATAACAACAACAACAACAACAACAACAACAACTACAACAATGACAACAACAGCAACAACAGCAACAACCGCAACAACAACAAAAATAACAACTATAACATCAACAACAACAACAAAAATATAACAACCACGACAATGACAATAAAGTGGATATTATTCTCTCACATCTTATAGACAATAAAATTAGTATTTTTTTAAATACAGAAAATGGAACATTTATTGAACAAAATATTATTTTAGACATTGATTACCCAAGATATGCACAATGATGGTAAAGGAGAACTTGTTGTCTTAAGCTCTCAAACTGTGAGTATAATTAATCATCAATGTTAGATATATCTTCAATTACTATAAAACTTATTCTTCATTTATAAAAACGAATATAATTAATTAATCAATGAATAGTTTTTGTGTCAATCGGCTTTCCATATTTTTTCCTTTTTTTGTTGTTGTTGTAATTCTTCTCTTTATATATTCTTTTTCTTTTAATTTCTTTTCAGTATTTTTTTCTCTTATATATCATATTTAATCAATACATTCGCTTATAATAAATAATCTTTTATCTTCTCATTGAAAAAATATTTGAATAAATTGAAGAAATTACGAAAACCAATTCTGTATATTAAAATTAAAATTTCAATACTTCACTCGATTGTCTGAAAAATAGTTTTCATCGATATTTTCATTATCAATTAGAAACTATAAAATATATATTCATGTCTTTGATTATTTCGAATCATCAACCATAAATCTAAGTAAGATATTTACAACTCTAGTATGATTATTATTTCTATTTATATAGACGATGTAATAACATTTTTTAAGTGTACATAAAATAGTATTAATCTATTTGAAATGTTTCAGACAAAAATTAAGATAGATTATTTTTCTTATAAGAGTGTAAATTGTATCTGTAATTATAATATGAACATAGAGTAATTTCATTAATTTCGACCTTTATTTTTAATATTCTCATGAGACATTGAAACAGTAAATATAGCGTCATGTTCATCGATGAAGTTAGTACATGGTTGAATTATATTATTGTTTAATGAACCATATATTCAAAAATCTTTTCAATATTGAATTCAATCATTGATTGATGAAATTAGTTGTTGTGTGTATTCAAAAAAAGGGATGTTATATTTCCTGTATAACGATAATTAAAATGAACTATAAAAGAAGAATAGAAAACATCTCATCGGAAGTTCAATGACAATATGAGTCAAATAACATGCTTATTTATCCTTTTCTTCTATATATGTCTATAACTGACAAATTGAGGAAATCCATGTTTATCTTAAATTATTGGCATTGAGGGATACATCAACTCCAAATTACTTTCTATCTTTTATTTACAAATAATAATAATAACGTCCTATGGGCTTATCGCCCGTAAGGGCCGGCCGTGGTTATTATTGAAGTCAAGCAGCCGGGTTCTTTCGTCCCTTTTTTTTACAGAAAAAGAAAAAAAAATATCGATTTTCTTTTACTACTAAATATATATATTTTCAATTAAAAAAAACTAAAAATTACACAAACATTAAAAATAAACCCTGATTGATTTAAACTATATTTTTTGTTAAACGATATCCTTGTCTATATTTTCGACATTGAATAGAATAAGCAATACTACCAATAATTATTAATATTCCAACAATAAGTAAAAGTCGTTCTACATTTAATTTATTTATATAATCTTGTATTTTATAATCAATTAATTCTTCTGTTGAATTATATTTTAATTTATACACAACTTCTTTTGTACAAATATTTTTCATACATTGATAATTATGTATTCGATTTCCTGAGTATGTTTTAATATATATATAAATTGGATTTGTAGATAATTTCGGATCACATTGAGATTTTTCATAACTAAGATATTTTAATTCATCATAAATCATAAAACATAAATAACTTTCACATGTATTTATTACTTTTTCTGAATGACATATATCTTTTGTATTACTTGAATTTTTCCATAATGAAATAAAATTATTATATAAAGAATTTTTACTAATAATAAGTAATTTTTTAATCCATTTTTCAATAAATATTTTATCACATAAATTCCCTGATAAACATGTATAATCAAGATAACTTGCAATCGATTGAATATTTTTATTGAAAAAGTTTATTGTTGAACCAAATTCAATATGTGTAGTATTATAATTATTATTAAGAGATGAATCAAATTTGATAATTATATTATTATTATTATCTATGGTTATTCGTACATGGCAAGATGTTGAATTAACTAATTGTTGTATTTTATTATTAATTGAAAAATTATTCCAATTGAAATCATTTTGAGAAAAATAAAATGTATTATTGGTATAACAAATAAGACCATGAAGATTTTGTATAGAAATAAGAAGTAGGAGAAATATACTTAACATTTTCTTGAGTAAAAATGAATGGTAATATGATCAAAAGTTCTAGTATTTCAACTGCATAAGAAAGATGAGGAATACATCATTAACAATAATATATTCTTTAACGTTTGTTCAGATAAATTATTGTGAATCATCAAGAGAAATAATATTTATAATTAATAGACATGTTTTATTCATCATTAGTACGAGTGTAGTTTCTTTCTGCAAAAGACTTTTTGTTTTATATAAAAATTTTGTTTTTCTATCTATATTTGTCCTTCATATTAATCTATATGCTATTATTATTTTTTCTCGTTTTCTCACTATGTCATGCCATATAGGATTTAGTTACCATGTTAAAAGAACTATTAATAAAGAAAGAAAAGATAAGATAGAAATATGATTCGATAGATTTATTGAAAATAATTTGTCATTCGCATTTTTTTTGTACTGAATTAATTGATGAAACAGCTTCATCCACATTTCTTTACTAGACAAATATAATAATGCATGTCAATCAGAATTTATAAATACAACATGCTGATCTGTCTACAAAAATTCTTATTGACATCTTTTTCTATCAATACAATAGTAAATGATTCTGAATAGAAACTATTTGATTTTTTATTGAAATATTTGACACAACAAATAATAAGTATATACAATTTGTTGTTAATAATCCATAAAATATTCGAAGTGTAAATTAAGTGTATTGTTTTACAACACATAAACTACAATAATAAAAAATTCGGTATGACTTAAGTTAGTATTTCATTGTATTATATCTGGAGATAAATTTTTTCGTTCTTGACTAACTTCAGTTATACGTTCTAGTTTATTTGAATTGAATTCAATTGCATGTGCAGTTGGTTTTGGTTTGACTTTCATTTCATAGTCTATGGGTCTAATAGAAATATTTTTCTTTAACCATTGAAGTTTCAAGAAAGAATATAACATTGCTTTTAATTCGACACGAAACATATGTGATGCCATTGTATATAAATAAAATGAACAAACAGGAAATAGAAAATTAATCATTTCTGTAATAAAAAGTGCAAATCTTTCGATGATAATACGAGCCAATGTTTTACTTAAATATATTGTTATTGCATTATAAAAATACATAGTCATCAGAGGTATTACTGTAATACTGTAGAAAATCATCTGAACCAGTAACATAATTAAAACTTGTTGATCTCGTCTGCTTTGTAACTTTTCATTTTCTTTTGCTTTAGGAGCGTTCTGTTGACGACGTTGCCGTTTAAGTGTTAAATTACGATGAATTAATAATGTACATATAGCCATACATGAAATTGGAATAATACAGCCCGTCAAAGTTAAAAAAGCACTATGATATAATGATGCAAAAATATTGTTATAGATAATACATATATGATTGATAGTATTGTAAAAAATGGGAATATGTAAAGTTAACACAAGCCAGATAAGTATGATGGCTACCACAACACGGCGTGCAATTTTCACATTTGCAAATTTTCGTAAGCGTACATCAGCGGATGAAAGTGCATATCGATCAAAGCATGCTATAGTTAAACACCAACGGTACATCATAGCCGTAGATTGAACGATATAAAAACGTAATTTACAAATAATTGATATTCCCAGTGGATCAATATTATCGAGTGTATACAAATATAATCCAAGAGCAATAGTTATATGAATAAGTGCTATGACAGACAATGCTTGAAAATCTATATCGAAAAAAAAAGAGATTTATATAAGAGATTTAATAATAAAACTTACAAGTACAACATGATGATGTCTGAAATTGTCGTCGGGATAAGAGTAAAATGTTAAGACAACAACCAGATACACCAAATATAAGAAATATTGAATCCCCATATCGAATAAGTTGTTGCTGAACATATGGAAGGGGACTGTTTGATGAAAGAGATAAAACTGACATTATAACAGATTAAAATAAGATCAATTGGAATGTGTCTTTGTTAAATTTTCTACAAATACATTGACTTTTAATAAATGAATATATCAAAAAGTAAAAAAAAATGAATGAAATTATATTTTCTTTCATGAACAAAAGTATGTCGACATATAATTTTATTCAAAAACGTCAAAAACAGCACAATAATTCTTTCTATTTTAAAAATATGTACTAAGAATACAAGGTCAAAATATTCTGTTGCAGGCGTTTGAACTTCCATGAAATTCTTTCTTTTTTTTATAATTTTCTATGCTAATACTCGTTCGCATTTTATAGAATTAACAAGAGAAAACATATCGTATCTAAGATTATACGTGAAACCAGTAAACATGATGCTTACTCTCATGTATCTACATTTACTATAGTATTTTTATTCAATTAATCACAGGAGATTATTAATATTTGAATGAAAAGAACATTGAAATTTCTAGAATAGTCGTTCATTTTAAATCGCAAAATAAGAAGATATAAGTCATCTGACAAGACAATTCATTATTGACTGGGACTGTTTGACTTACAGTTAATTTCAATATCATTAGCAGTATGTCATACCAGATTTTAATTAAAAATTTTGCCTCTTTTCCGAACTTTTATTTTTTTGACAAATGGCGCACTAAGCGTCTAATTTAAGTCCAAAGTACTAATCAAAAACTAAGGATATCTTATATAAATCTATTGTAGTAGTTATTTCAGTAGATAACCTCTATCAATACCTCTTACTAGTTTCAAATACAAAAAATTTATCGCAGTAAATCTATATTTATGTTTTCAATTTGAGGATAAAACTTTGGTTAAGTATTAAAGATAATATCATTTTTTATTTATTATTAATTTTATATACAATTCATAATTTCAGTCAGTTTATTCCATAAATAGTATTCTGGAGGGTATGAATCGAATTTAATGGTTAATAAATCTTTGATATTAATGCAGAAAACTGATTTACAATATACAGTTAATCGCACTCTTCTTCATACGCAAAACAGCTACCTTATTCCGTATCATTTTTAGTGTAATTATTCCAAATCGAATTTGTCAATTTAACACTCTTCTGTTTTTGAAATGTCATTTCATTTATAGTCTATATTATTCAATGTTCTTGTATTAAGAAATAGTCAATATTTTGACATATTATTCACTATGTATTTGTTCTTGAAATAAGATATTAACTTTTGTCCTAGATGTACGTCAACAACCCAAACGAGTATAATACATTAATAGAGCGGTAGAAAATATTCAGAATATTATAATTATCAAATAGAAATAACCGAAAGACATGATTTAGTATATTTGGGTCTAGTTCAATGATTGAAACATAATGAATGATTATCGTTATTAGAAAACATTAAATAACAAGTTTTATACAAAAAAAAAAGAAACTTGATTAAAAATAAAAAATAAAAAATACATTATATTTTTCGTATTAATCTTAATAAAATCGAGACCAAAATAATCATAAAACAAAACTAAGTCATAATTAGACATATTTTTATCTAAATAACATATAGATAATAGATAATTATGAAAATCATATTCATTTATAATTGAAAATTATTGTTTATTGGCAACTATATGTAATGATGTTAAGAAATTCTTTTATTTGCTTTTTTTTCGTACTATTTCGATGCTTATTCTTGAAGCATCATCATCAGACGTTGTCTTATAATACATAAAGAAAGATAATTATTTAAAGACAAAAAAATAGGTGTGAGTGTAGGTATGACATTCATCTTAATGTGACACCCACACCCACCCTTTTATCTTTTAAGATATTCCATGTGAAATGTTTTTCATCAGAAAATGGTAGATCATAATCCATCTGAGCAATAACTATTTGTTTGATATCATCATCCCAGACAACGTGCAATTTGCCTTCTTTTGTGAGGCAAT